TAATCATCAACATTATACCTGTATTGCAAGCTCCCTAGTAGGGCATATGACAACAACACCAGTTCCATTTCGAGGACTGAATTGAGCATGGTACAAAAGCTCCACAGCTGGTATTAGAAAAGCAAGAGTTTTTCCAGAACCCGTCCTCGCAGCACCAAGAACATCTTTCCCAATCAAAAGGGGCGGGATTGCTCTCGCTTGAATCTGCATAGCCATATAGGATCAACATAGAACATTCTTGCCATGCAAATTGTAAAAGCTTCCACAAGATTATTACATCAATTAGCATAATCTGTGAAGATGAAAAAGTTAACTCCATCATCGTATAGGAAAGAAAAGGTTTCCTATCTGTCCTCAGACAGGCCATAGCCTATAAATAATTCTCCTTCAATTTTTTCATTTAAAAATGGCAGGAGGTTTGAAAGAGAGATATCATATTCATCTACACTGAGAAGTTCTTGCTTAAGATGAGCAATTATGAGCTTGCAACAATAACTTATCTATGTTTATAAGCATGATTTATGATGTGAAGCTTTTAGAGACAAGCAAGTCCGGAGATATAAACCTCCACTGCAGCTCTCCTTAGAATTCCACATAATGCAAAATAAAATAAGGAAAAGAAGTAACCTGAGTTGTATGCTCGAATCCCATATCTTTAATGGCCTTGAAAGTAGGTTCAGACAATCCCAGAGAATCAAACGACACAGTGCTCATAATTCCAGACCCAGCATTCTTTAACTTCCTTTTTTTGTCTTCCTCATCACCGTCCTCATCGCTGCCCTTTTCCCCTTCACTTGCTTCTTCACTGCGCTTCACCTTTCTATCCTTCTTGTTCTTATGCAGCTCAGCAGATTCCTTATCCCCATCATTCTCTCGGGCTTCTTCGCCTTCTTCCTCCCCATTCTGGCATGACTCTTGAGGTTCTAATTGCTCCTCAATTGTAGATTTCAGTGGTCTATTCCTCTTCCTCTTCCTCTTCTTCCGTTCCTCAAGCAAGGCATGACACTTCTCTTCAGGTTCAGCCATAAGAAATGGTTCTAGCAATGTTTTTAGAACCGGACTAGACGTTAAACTAGAAAGACCAACAGTTCACATGGTCGAGATTGAACCAGTGACGTAGTGATTAAACTTAAAAATATTATATATGTAAATATTAATATAAATATAAGAAACAAATATGAAATTGCTACATAACTTGAAAATAAAGCCAATTATTCCAAGTTAATTATAAGAAAACAAGCCACATGATACAATATAACATCAACTGATTAACAAGTAACAAGTCAAGTAGTTACAATGCTCCCATGTAGGAGACTTTGATCTAACACCTTATGTTGATACATCATTTGAAGCATTTTCAGATGTCATTTTCCAAAGCAGTTCATGACTTGTCAAATATTGATAATTCAAACCATCTATATCTTTCATTATATTAAAAACTAGAAGAACAAAATCAATCATAAGGGCACCAAAAATTATTCAATGATTTTATAATTTTATAATTTAAATAATATAAAATCAATGATTTTGAACAAAGGACATAAGGCCAGACAATTCATATTACAAATGGCAAGGCCTGGTCAATTTCAGAATGCTACAGTGATATGCAAAGATCAATTAACTAACTAGTGGGAATGTGGGGATATAATGGAAAACACAGATAAGAGAAAAAGCTTAGCAAACAGAGAAACACACACACAGCGGCACTCAGGTTGTTTCATTATGAAAGCAAGTTGTCACTCTCACAGCCCAAAAGGCAAGGTGCTCTCGCTCAAATCTCAATCACAATCACATTCTCTCTACACGTGTGAGAGAGAATGTAAAGTAATCGATATAAAAAGGAAAAGCTGAAAGGTGTGAGAGCAGAAAAATTAACCAATTTATAGAACAGAAAGATTAATCAATATATTGAACAGAAAAATTACACTCAATATGAAAGCACCAAACTAACTAATAAGCCCACCAAATGCAGGCCTCAGTCACCAAAAAAGGATTATTGACTCTCTTTTTTTTCAATTTAAAACTTAAAAGGGAGGAAACTTACAGTAAGTCTGCAAGGGAGGAAGACAACAAGCTCAATGAAATCCTGACTTGAAATCCGAGCAACCGAAAAAGCGAGGAACCCAGATGCTAACGGAGGTGAGCACGGTAGCAAAATCTATACAAGAGTCGACGAAGAGCAGAGAAGAACCGAGGCCGAGACTCGTGACTTGAGAACAAAGAAGTCGATAGTGATGGCTCGGATTCTGTAGCTTGAACCTCGAAGCCGAAGTAGATGCCAAGATGGTGATTGGGGAATGGGGAGGCAAACAACAGAAGGAGGACGGAGTTATAGACTCGCCGTCGGAGCTCAAATCGTGAAGTCTGAAGAAGGGAGTGCGGAGGAGAGGAGACTGGAAATGGAAATCTGGATTCGCTAGCGGCTGAAAGACGCCTCGTAGGAGGGAGGTTTTTTTTTTGGGTTAAAACTTGTGATCCTTTTTTTTTTTTTTTTTTTACTCTACAACTTATGATCCATGGTGAGAAATGGATAGGCCTGATCACGTAGACTCAGCCCTTATGAGACTGAGTTTATAAGAATCAGGTCTTTAAGCACAATATTTTAAAAATAAATTAATTTTTAAAGTTTGGTTTTTATTTAAAATATTTAGGATCTATTTTGTTAGAGGGGAAAGAAAAAAAGGAAAAATTTTAAAAAACCTTTCCTCCTCTCCCAATTTGGGAGGATGCTCCTCTCCCCTCCTCCCCTCCCCTCCTCTCCCTTCTCCTCCATTCCCTCCCCTCTTCCTCCCTCTTTTTCCCTCCCTTAAATCAAATAAAGTCTTAAGATTGGCTCATGAGTTTTTATTATTATTTTTTTATTTTTTAAAAATTAAAAATTTTAATTATAACATTTCATATATTATTAAAATATAAATTATAATATTAAAAAATTAAAAATAGATAATAAAAAATCAAATCTTAAGGTATAAACATAAATTTTAAATTTAATTTAAAAAAAAGCCGTTTGAGCTCTTTTTTAAGGGTTGGGCTTCAAAGCTTAATTTTTTAAAAATATAACATTTTATAAGTTCAAATTTATATAAAAATGAGTTTAAATGAGTGGTCCGTCAAGTTCAACTCTTATTTTTAACTATATCAATCATTACTCGTATATGTATTATAAAATATAAAAAATTTAGAAGGAAAAAATAAACACATCCCCCATTCACAAAATAATTTAGTATGTGTTCACATTTAAAAATGACAGAAGGGTTAAACTAATATTAGAGTCCATTGAAATTAATAAATTCGGGTAAGAAAAAAGCCGATAATTTTAACATGATTTACACTTTAATAATTTCTTAAAAAAAACTAGGTGAATAAATTAAATTTATTTAGATGATTTGATTTAAAAATTAATTAAAATATATAACAATAAAAATGTGCGTTAATATGTATATATATATATATATATATATTATAAACATATACAATAATAAATCAAAAATCGTAATTTTTAAATATTTACAAAAAATATTAAACTTAAAAAATAATTTTAAAAAATAAACTACAAACACAAAATACACTAATAAATCAAAATCATAATTTTTAAATAGGTAGAATTAATGATAAAATTCAAAATATCCAATTATAAAAATCTAAAAAAATTCATAAATTATAAAATATTTAGGAAAAATTAATCATTTGGTCCCTGTACTTTGGACCCAATTATAACTCAGTTATTGAACTTTTCCTTTTATAATTCAATTCTTATAATTTTAACTGATTAAATATTAGTCTCTATATATTAAAAAATTAAAATTAAAATTAAAAGGGACTAACATAATTTTAATCTGTGTAATTTTTTTTAATATATAAGGACTAACATTTAAATGGTTGAAACTATAAAGACTAGATTGTTGTTAATTTTAAATAAATTGTTGTGAAAATATAAATGTGCAGCTATTGATAGAGGACTAACACAGATAATTAAATGCGTCTTATATGTTTTCCTAACTTGTTAAAGCTCGAATAGATTGTTATTAATTTATGATGAATTATTATTAAAACTTAAATAGATACTTGTAATTGTTAATTAAAAATGTAGGTTTAGTGAACTATTACTTTTCTAACTTGTTAAATTTGAAATGAATTATTGTTTATTTAGAATGAGTTGTTGTCAAAACTTGAATAGATACTTATTGATGAAATGCTAACACATACAATTATGCCATTCCTATATGTTTTTCTAGCTTGTTAAAGCCTAGATGAAATATTGTTAATTTAAAATGAGTTGTTGTCAAAATCAAAATAGATATTTGGTGATAAAAGACTAACACATACAATTATATTTATCCTATATACATTTCTAATTTATTAAAGTTAGAATGATCTGTTAATAATTTAGAATAGCTTATTTTTTTATACACCTGTTCTATTAGACTTGTACTTATAATCATCAATATCAAGTATTTAAAGGTGTAATATTACCTAATGTTTTTCAAAATCTAATAATTTTGCCCTCGACTTGGAGATTTAGGGTCTATTTATTTTTTATTTTTAAAAATAATTTTTTGTTTTTGCAAATAGGAAAATTTGGAAACTTGCTTGGATTAGTGCTTTTGGTTTAATTATTTTTAAAATTGTTTTCATTTTTGTTTAAAAAAATACAAACAATTTTAAGTTTTTTTTGTTTTATGATTTTTATTTCAAATTACACTATATTTAATTATTATAAATTATAGTTATCTTAATCAATTTTTATGCAAAATTATTATTATTAACTATTTATAATCATTATTATTATTTTATATTATAATTTTAAAATTAATTGTAAATTAACATAATCAAATAAATTTTTATTTTATTTTATTTTAAAAATTATATTATAAAATGATCTTTTAAAAATAATAGGAATAGAAATCAAATAAACCCCTACACTTTGACAGATAAGTTTGACCATGATATGCCACATGGCATATATTATAGAAATCTAAGACAACGAAAAAACATGTGGCTTTTTGGTTCTTCAACTGCGTTCTGCCTCCTCTTCCCATGAATCCCATCTTCACCCATTCTGCTTCCTCTTCTCATCTTCCCATCTTCTTCGATCGCTTCCTCTTCCTTTTCCCACCCATAGCTTCCTCTTCACGTTTTATCCCTAGATCTAAACCATCCACCCATGGCCTCCTCATCTTCTCTCTTCCTCTTCCTCTTACACTCCCATCGACTGAGACAAACGGCCTTCTGGAGAAGAACACGAGCGATGGCGACGGCAAGCAAGGGCGATGCAGACGGTGAGCGCAGTGAGTGCGGGAGATTTTCTAGGTTTCGCTTTCTAACTTCTAAGGATGTGCTTTTTTCTTTTACAGCTGGAGACTATGTTTTGATTTTCTAGGTTCTTCTTCTTATTCTTCTTCCTCTTCTTCTTTTTTGCAGTTGGAGATTGTGTTTCAATTTTCTAGGTTTCGTTCCGTGCGTGGCTAGCGTGGAGAAGATCCAACAAGATAATAGGAACAGTGTTAAAGTTCGCGTGGTATTGTCGGCCAGAAGAATCGAATGGAGGACATAGGCAATTCCATGGAGCGAAAGAGCTATTCTTGTCGGATTATTATGACATCAAGAGTGCTCACTCCATCCGTGTGCCTTGGATTTCACGTTTGTTTTTCCTTTCAAATTCATTGGTGCATATTGATAATTTTAGTCCGATTTTAGACCTGGGCCTTGGTGGCTGTATTAGTTTAGTATGATGATTTTCAAAATTCATAGCATGTTAGTCTCTTTGCACGGTTTGTCGTGTCCTTTGCATTAAAAAAAAAAATCATGACATGATTTCTTGTTGAAGGTATTGAAATGAAAATTAGGTTTGAGTTATTAAGTAAGAGCGCGAATACTGAGAGTGTTTCAGTTTTTTTTTTTTTTTAAATCCACATCTGATGAGGCAATTCACGTGGCATGCTAGATTTTAATATAATGGTTAAACAATATATCTTAATGGTGAATGTGAGTTCTTATGTAAGAACAAGACAAAATTGTTCATTTTGAAAAATGTTGAGACGGCATTGTGCTGTTAAATACTTCAAGATATTAATTGCATTTTGTTTTTAAAAACGTTTGGGACATATTTATATTTTAGTCCAATAATTAACGACCATGCCAAATATGATTCTTAATTTATTTACATGGATATATTGAAAATACATGGTGAAATCCATGTTATATGCTAGCTAAATGATAACTAATCATGGTGTTAGATATGATTCTTAATTTATTGTAGAAGGATAAGAAATAACATTAGCTCCTTAGCATTTATTCATAATTTTTGGAACTCAATTAATTATATGATATTATTTTTCTTACATGATATTGTTATAATTTTTTATGGTCCTTTACATATTTTTTGTATTAATCAACAGTCAAAACAACATATGTTTAATATGTGGGTACAATTACACTATTTTTAATACTTGTGGAGCAACATTGCACCTTTAATAATTTAGAATATCAAATGTTCTTGAGAAAACAATTTAAGAACAAAGATACCATTTAACCAATACTTTAAAGTCTACTTATTTTAATTTTAGTAAAAATATATTAAGTATATAAAATTAAATACATAAGCATTATCTTTAGTATTGGAGTCACATGCATTTGAGGGGAGAATGACGCATATGGGGGTATAAGTTCTCATATTTGGCACCTCTCTTTTTTATATTTGCACCCTCTTATTTTAATATTTTAAATTTAAAAATGTTATTTTTTTAACCTAGATCTAATATTAAAATTTTTTAACTCAAAACTCAATAAATTTTAATACACACAATTTCACCATACCCAAATAAAAATATCATTTTGTAAAAAATTATATAAAATAATTTTTTATTATTGTTTGATCTAAGCTAAGGCCTTCTTAATGCTGCTTTCGAGCAAACACGGTTATTTTAGGATTTTCAATCTCTTGATACAAAAATCATGAATTTTTTAGTGTATTGACACAATTTACACTTATGAATCATGATCATATTTTTTGCTTATGTATAAGTTTCTTATGAAAGTAAGCATAGAGTATACTTGAATTTTTTTATGATAAAAGTAAGATAGTACCAAGTCAAACTTTAAGAAAGGAGAAGAGAATTTAGGAAAAAAGACATAAGTAACACACTAATTTTATTCCTTAGCTGATAGGCTCTTAAACACTTCAACCAACTCTAAAAATATTAGTCTGCCTTGCCCATAGTGGATGGATGGTTGGGCCGTTTAACTTACTGGACAAAATTACCCGCTTTATTACCTTTTTCATTATTTGTCTTTTGAGATTTTTTTATTATATTACATGTATTTTCAAAATATCAAAGCAATATTTAATAATATTTTTCCTATTCTATCCAACCTATATTTAACTGTTTCAGCATGACAAAAACTCATTCAATTTCAATCACGGACGCTATATATTTACTCCCCTTTTATTGCCAATTTTTAGACTTTGATAAACTCAAATGCCTTAAAGAGGAAAACAAATATCTTAAGAAATGTTTTTTTTTTCTTTTTTATATTCACAGGTCTGAAATAGAAATAGGAAGATTGGGCTGGACTGAAAATCAATCAAGAAAAATTAAAATAAGGTCTTTAAAAGATAAAATTTCCTTTCTGACTTTCTTGCAAGAGACCCTCTTTCCTTGAATTTACGGCACAGGGTTTCTAGAAGACTGGTAAATTTCCTCAATTATTAGGAGACATGGATTTGGTTTTTAATATTTTTCTTTTTAGACATAAAGCGTTATTTTGGGATCTGCCCGGAAGCTGCTGAAGCCGCCATAGTTAGATACTTCAATTCAATTTGTCATTATAAGGATTTGGTCTCTGTCTTCCTCCCTCGTTCATTTTTCATTATATCTTAACCCTTTCCCACCAATCCCTTTGAATACCCAACTCGGTCAAACTGGGATGGCTGTCCCGTTTCAGCTTCAAGCCCATTGAAGCCAAGCTATGGTTGAAACATATTACGCTGTGTCTCCTCTGTTTCTTTGACCAGTCCTGGGTTTGACGTCTGAAAAGGGATATATTTTTTTTTAAAAAGATCATTGGGTGTTCGGAACTCGAATAAAAAGATCAATCATATGAAATCTTTTAAGCAGTCTTTTTACGGGTCATTCTTAAACATAACGGACATAGCCTTTTTTTTTTCCCTCATTGCTTCCTTAAAAAATCTCGGGGGTTTGAGGATCCTGGTGGTGTTGGGAGATTACTTTGAAAAGCCGAATAATATACAAAGTTCCGAGCTTCATAGTCGAAGAAAAATGGCGGGTCGTAGAAGAAAGAGGCACCACTTCAGCAGAATCCATGCGTTTACGTGTGGGAAAGCATCGTTTAGAGGGGAGCATTCGCTCATTGGAGGCCCTGGATTCTCCAGGATAGTGTTATGCAACGAACTAGAACGCGTGGAGGATTATGGCGATAATTACGTGAGAACTACTAAATATACACTAGCCTCGTTCCTCCCAAAGTCGTTATTCGAGCAATTTAGGAGGGTTGCTAACTTCTATTTCCTCGTATGTGCGATCTTGTCCTTCTTCCCTGTTTCTCCTTATTCAGCTGTCAGCAACGTTCTTCCTCTGGTGGTGGTGGTCGCTGTAAGTATGGGTAAAGAGATGGTTGAAGACTGGAAACGCAAACAGCAGGTATTTTTCTGCAAATCTCTGTGTATTCTTTTCTTTGTGTGCGTTTCTGGTTAATTCGAACATTTTCATAGTGCCGAACCAACCATGGATCTTGGTGGGTCTCTCATTTTGACCAGTTTACATGTGAGCACATAATTAGTAGCATTATGAAATATCTCGGTAATATTCTCCTTTTACTTTTGATAATACTTTGTTCATTAAAGTAATTTCATAAATGCATCAGGATATTGAGATGAATAACAGAAAGGTTAAAGTCCATCGCGGAGGAGGCGATTTTGATCAGTCTAAATGGAGGGATCTAAAAGTTGGAGACATAGTAAAGGTGGAGAAAGATGGTTTTTTTCCTGCTGACCTCGTATTAATTTCATCGAGTTATGATGATGCTGTTTGCTATGTTGAGACCATGAATCTTGACGGAGAAACAAATCTTAAGCTGAAACAAGCACTGGAAGAAACTTCCGTATTGCAAGAAGATTCAAGCTTTCAGAATTTCAAAGCTATGATCAAATGTGAAGATCCAAATGCAAATTTGTACTCCTTTGTGGGCACTCTGCAGCTAGAAGATCAACAGTACCCTCTTGCACCTCAGCAGCTTCTTCTTAGGGACTCAAAGCTGAGGAATACCGATTTTATTTATGGCGTGGTTATCTTTACAGGTCATGATACAAAGGTTATGCAGAATTCAACAGAACCTCCCTCTAAGAGAAGCAAACTTGAGAAACGAATGGATAAGATAATCTACTTCCTGTTCTCTGTCTTGTTCATCATTTCTCTTATTGGATCCATTTTCTTTGGAATATCAACTAGGCAAGACCTTGAAAATGGAAGAACAAAAAGATGGTACCTTAGACCAGATAATACGACAGTCTACTATGATCCAAATCAAGCTGCAGTTGCAGCAATTTTGCATTTCTTGACTGCGCTTTTGTTATATGGTTACTTGATTCCCATTTCCTTATATGTTTCGATAGAAATTGTGAAAGTTCTTCAGAGCAGATTCATTAACCAAGATGTGACCATGTATTATGAAGAAACTGACAGGCCAGCTCATGCTCGCACCTCAAATTTGAATGAAGAACTTGGCCAAGTTCGTACCATACTTTCAGATAAAACAGGAACTTTGACCTGCAATTCTATGGAATTTATCAAGTGTTCCATTGCTGGGGTTGCATATGGTCATGGAGTTACAGAAGTTGAGAGAGCTCTTGCTAGAAGAAAAGGATCTCCTTTATTTCAAAATTTGACAGATGAGGATGATCATGTTGCAGGAAAGCCATCTATCAAAGGATTTAACTTTGTAGATGAAAGAATCATGAATGGAAATTGGTTCAATGAGCCTCATGCAAATGAAATCCAGAACTTTCTGCGTTTGCTGGCAGTATGCCATACTGCAGTACCTGAAGTTGATGAAGAAACAGGTAAAGTCTCATATGAAGCAGAATCACCAGATGAGGCAGCTTTTGTGATTGCTGCAAGAGAACTAGGGTTTGAATTTTATGAAAGGACACAGGCAGAAATTTCGATACGTGAGTTTAACCTCAAATCAAAAATGAAGGAGGAAAGGTCAGGTTTTGGTTCTCATTGATGAAAATTTGTTCGTCTTTATCTGATATCTATCTGTCACTGAAACTTGGGATATGTATTTAAATTATATATTTCCATCTCTGCAGATCCTACAAACTCTTGAACATAATAGAATTTAGCAGTGCAAGAAAGCGGATGTCTGTAATTGTTAGGGATGAGGAGGGGAAATTGTTGCTACTTTCCAAAGGTGCTGATAGGTACGCAATATTCTTCATTTCTTTTAAATCTTACGCATTACATGTTTTATTTGAATAAGGGACATGATTTTAATTTGTCATGCAGTGTGGTAGAATTGGCAGAAACGCTACAAAAAAAAAAAAAAAAGAATGCTAAAGAAGAACACAACTGAACCGTTATTAAATAGTTCCTAGATTGATAGCAATTCAACATTACTTTATCGGACATGTATAGGAATCTTGTAGAGAATAATCTATCTTTTTCCGTATCACAATGTTATTTTTAGTTTGACTCAGAACCTTAAATTATCCAGTGTATCTTTTTGCCACAAGCAGTATCATGTTCGAAAGACTTGGAAAGAATGGAAGGATGTTTGAGGAGAAGACTAAGAAGCATGTTGATGAGTATGCTGATGCTGGTCTGAGGACATTGTTACTTGCATATCGCACGCTTGATGAGGAAGAATATAATCAATTTAACATAGAATTCACGGAGGCCAAGAACTTGGTTAGTGCAGATCGGGAGCAGATTATAGAGGAAGTAGCTGAAAAGATTGAGAAGGATTTGATTCTTCTTGGTGCTACTGCAGTTGAAGACAAACTTCAAAATGGGGTATGTTATAAATGTTTCTTTTATTTTTTAAACTAGAGTATAAAAGGAATGTGGATGCTTGTGTGGACAATCTCTCTCTCTCTTCGATATCAGACTGCTCATAGTACCACCACTATTTCGCAGCTATGTAACGGAATAGTTGAGACTAGAAATACAAATACTTGATTAATTACTGGAAAGAGTAATTTATCTTTTCATTCATTGAGATTAACCAAGTCAAAAGCTGCAATGAGAGTCATCTCTGTTATGTCGTGTTCTCATGAATTTAACATTCATTTGTATTCCACAGGTCCCTGAATGCATTGATAAATTAGCACAAGCTGGAATTAAGCTATGGGTTTTGACTGGTGATAAGATGGAGACAGCAATCAATATTGGGTAAGTTGAAAAGCACTGTATAGATTCTTAAATCGTGAACGAATAATAGGATCCCAATAATTGTCTTGTGGGTGCAGATTTGCTTGCAGTTTACTAAGACAAGGAATGAAGCAAATTATAATTAGCTCAGATACTTCAGAAATCAAATCACTGGAGAAAACGGAGGACAAGTCTGCTGCTGCAATTGTAAACTCTTGAACGTTGAATTCTTTTATCCATATCATTAACATTTGCATGCAAGAGATGGTCATATATTCTGTAGGTTGTGTGTTAGCCAGTTACAGCAAAACCTTGCAAAATGGAACCCATAAAATTTTGGAATCCCTAGTTTACCATGTATTGTATTAGGTTTTGTTGGTCTTTTTCCTTTATGATACATACTGTTATAAGTATTAATGCACCCATTTTTCTGGCTAACTTGAACATTCCTAAAATTAATAATTCATCATGGTTTGACAGCATTTGATTCTTCAAATGATTAGTCTTTGTCACAATTTACTTTTTGTGATCTATATTTGCAAAGGAACATGAGTATATCACTGTATAATATTGTACTCTTTCTGACCATTGAGATATTAAATGATTTAATGTGATCTAACTGATTATACAGGCTATTAAGGCAAGTGTTCTTCGTCAGATAAAGGAAGGAATGGCATTTCTTTCTAAGTCACATGAAAACTCTGAGGCATTAGCTCTAATCATCGACGGGAAGTCTCTTGTTTACGCACTACAGCATGATGTGAAGGACATGTTTCTCGAACTTGCAGTTGACTGTGCATCTGTTATATGCTGTCGTTCGTCTCCCAAACAGAAAGCACTTGTACGTTTTGTTTAGTACTTAATAATTCATCTCTGTGCATGTTTACCTGTTCTTTACACGCACATTCACGCACATGTAAGGCCAATGTGACTGAGTTTCTTTAAGCTTATAAAATGAAAAATTTTAGTCTTCCTTGGTATTGTGACCATATTTTTGTTATTTGTATATTAATTCAGGTTACAAGACTAGTAAAGAGTAAAACTGGTAGTACAACTCTTGCAATTGGTGATGGGGCAAATGATGTTGGAATGCTCCAAGAAGCAGACATTGGAATTGGCATCAGTGGTGTTGAAGGAATGCAGGTAAATTTTATGTGCTGAAGGCCTGATAACTTTTTTATCTGAACCCTGCATCTTTTTGTGTTCTTGAATTCTCACTTTTCATTTCATGTGCTAAAATTTCAGGCAGTTATGTCAAGTGACATCGCGATTGCCCAATTTCGGTTTCTTGAGCACCTACTTCTTGTGCATGGACATTGGTGTTACAGAAGGATATCAAAAATGGTACCGATCTTGTCTATTCAATATTGAAAATTCCAAACGCAATATACCTGAGCCGAATCTGTACCTGTCTGTAAAGTTTTAGTTCAATTATTTCAAGCTCACTTGGACATGCACTTTAAACATGAGAATCTGCTACTTTTTTTTTTTTCCTGCTGCACACAGATTGCAATCTATTTGGCTGTGACGCCCTTCTCCCTTTTTCTCTGGCAGATCTGCTACTTCTTTTACAAGAATATTGCCTTCGGCTTCACTCTCTTCTTCTTTGAGATGTATGCATCATTCTCAGGGCAAGCAGCCTACAACGACTGGTTCCTGACACCGTACAATGTAATCTTCACTTCACTTCCGGTGATTGCCTTGGGAGTGTTTGACCAGGATGTCTCCGCTAGATTATGTCTCAAGGTAGCCCCCAAACTCAAACTTTTTCATGGCATTCAGTTTGATAAATTCTGTTCCCCAGATAGAGACAATGAGTAACATTGTTTCATTTCCTAATAACATTACAGTTTCCACTACTATATCAAGAAGGTGTCCAAAATGTCCTGTTTAGCTGGAAAAGAATTCTTGGTTGGGTTTTCAATGGCCTGTTGACTTCTACTATCATCTTCTTCTTCTGTACCAAAGCAATGGAGCATCAAGCCTTTCGAAAGGGCGGTGAAATTGTAGGCCTAGAAATCCTGGGAGCCACCATGTACACGTGTGTTGTTTGGGTGGTAAACAGTCAAATGTCATTATCTATAAGCTACTTCACGTACGTACAGCATATATTCATATGGGGTGGCATTCTATTGTGGTACATATTCCTCTTGGCATATGGAGCCATGGATCCCACCATTTCAACCACCGCCTACATGGTCTTCATTGAAGCTCTTGCTCCTTCCCCATCTTACTGGTTCATTACTTTGCTTGTGCTTTTTTCCTGCCTTCTTCCATACTTCGCCTATTCTTCCATCCAGATGAGGTTTTTCCCTATGTACCATCAAATGATACAATGGATAAGAAATGACGGGAAGACCAGGGATCAAGAATACTGTGATATGGTGAGACAGAGATCTATACGACACACGACCGTTGGGTACACGGCTCGTTTTGAAGCATCCAAACGATTCGAAGACAAGCCTCATCAGCAGCAGCATCACTAAATGGCTTCTTTGCTGTATCTGTAGCATTAATAGTGAAGAGTATAGTGTAAAATTTTTCCAGAGGCAATCTTTCACTGATCGTACATATTAATTTCAGATATGGATCGTACATATTAATAGTGAAAAAACATGTTAGAGATGTGGTGAATAACGTCATGTGATGGTCTCTGCGGTGCCTCTGATTTCTGTGGCCATCTTTGAGATCAGATGGAAAATTGTAGTCAATAATACCCAGTGATAAGTTCAAGTGTAGCATGGGGGAATAGTCAATTCATTTGTAATCTTTGATTCTTTCGTGTACATGAGTGAGGTGTCATTGTATTATGATGTAATTTTGAAGTTGAATTCATTCAAATTTTTCCAACCATTCCCTATGTAATTTTCTAAACCATCGTCGTTCCAAAGCGTGGTTATATTCCCAAGCATTTCAAGGACGATAAGTGATAGGTGCTCAGAATAATTAAAATAAGAATAACTCTATTAGGATGATATAGAACAAGAATCTCGTTCTATATTTCTCTTAATAGCCACGCTCAGGAGAATCTCCAAAGGGTTTAAAAGACTATTTTATTGATAAACTGATATGATAGCTTCTAAGTTGCTAGTCATATTTATAATGCTAAATGCAATCTAAAATAATGGATAAAATCTAGATAACTAGATAACTAAATAATATCTCCTATAATCTAAAATAACTAAATAACTAAATAATATCTCCTATAATCTAAAATACTGAATAAAATCTAAATAGATAAACTACTAGATCTAAATAAAATCTAAAGAATAAAATCTGACTAAATAAAATACTAAATCTAAAGAAATATCAAACTGAGCAAAATAAACAATGAAATCAATCTAAATTTATCTTTTGACGCTTTCTTCTTGGATAAGTCTTCATGGGAATATTATCTGAAATCTTATCAATAAGCCTGTAAGTTCATGAAACATGGTATGGGGTGCCATATTATAATGTTGATTCAAATAACGGGAACTTCCAAATCAATCACGTTGGCCGCTTAACCCTACTGATATCATGATTACAGAAGGCAAAATAATGTTAACCAATGTTGTTGTCTCTCGTCTGGAAAACCTCCCCCAGAAGCTGGGCTTGATTGAACTCGTCGGAGGGCTTGAGGCTGAGGGAGGGAAAAGGATCCATGATGAGTCTGCCATGGACATTGTGGTGGGATGAATATGCTATGTTTCGTTGGACAAGCTCCAGGAGAGCCCATGAGAGACGCTATCGTTTGCATATATCAAAGGCTGTTATATGAGGGAAAAGATTATTAATGGTTTCCTTCAAAGCGTTTATATAGAATATTAAAACAAATAATGGATAAAGGTATTAAATAAGATCACAGGTTTGATTTATTTTTTATTCACAAGATTTCCCAGTAATTTTCGATTCTGAACTCACTCAAATTCATAGAATTTTGGAAGGGTTCTCTTATTCTTGTTTATAAAAGGACAACCTTTTGTCTAAATTATTTATTCAAATTTTTATTCTTTTTTTAAAAAAGATCAATGATTAAAAGCAACCCGTCAATTATTAAATGAGGTTATTCTAACTAAAAAAATTTGCACCTGTAACATTTATTACCCAACTAACTTTGGTTTACATTTTTTTAATCCAATTAGTTATATTATACATACTCAATTAAAAAATATAAAATATTTTTAATTGAATATCACTTCCATTGATTACATCTTTTTAGATTTATCTTTATATAATAGGGTATTTTAATTAAAAAAATATAAAATAATTTATTTATTAATTTTTTAAAAAATATGTTAATTACATTTTAAAATATTAAAAATACTTTAAATTTTTTAATATTTAATTATTTTAAAAAATATTTTATATTTTTTAATGAAAAGATTATATAAGAATAAATAAGATTCGATAATAATAGTTTCACATTGGGTGTTATCAAGGTTTTTCAAGACCATGATAGAATAAAAGTATATTTTATATTGATGATTTAAAATTAAAATGTCAGATTTCATTATCCAAATAACGTTGACTCACGATTCAGAGGGCAAAGAATCGAAAAAAGTAGCGTAACTTCATCTCAAAACGAGAACAAGAAGCAGGGGGGTGTGCCTGCCTCCAAACGAGGTACGAAAGAAAAAGTAAAAGAAAAAAAGTGGAGAACAGAATAAATAAAAAAGAAGCGCAAAGTAAAAAAGCGATCAAACGTAAAATTAGTAAATTACGCACTTTATGCTTATACAGTGCAGTCACAGGTGTCACAAAGTCAAGAGGGTAACTGATGTCAGTATTATGAATGATATAGAGTTACTTCATTTTATTACATTTTGATAATACAGAAAACATGTAATTTTTTTTTAAGGTAAGATTGCTTAAACAAACCTCACCACAAATTTAATTATGGAGAGGAACTTGATAACTCTTCAAATATGAGGTCCTTTAGTGGTATAAAATGAGATGAGCAAAAAAACCAAATGCCCTTCTTCCCTTACAGCATGATTGTCACTCACTAGCCATCTTCCTCACATCATAAATTACTCTTTCATCAATCCTGTAGGTCGACACTCCCTTGTTTTAAAGACAAAAACCTTCAAGTTTTTTGTTGATGAAGATCACGTTGTTACCACAAAATAAAGGGGATGAATCTTGTTGATTCTACATACGAAGCTTGTAACATCATAATTTTTAGGTTATAAATTAATTATGAAAATTGAGATTTGATTGAGGATATATAAGCAGGGTTGAAATTACTTTAAAGCTTAATTTGGGGGGGGGAATTGTAATTGAGATCATTTGAGGTAATGATTAGTTTAGGAACTTAATTATAACTTAAATTGGGCCAAAGGTGATATAGTAGGGTTAATTAGGGTCCAAAATAGGTTTTGGGCTAGATTTGGCCTAGCAATTGTAGGCTTAAGTGAAAGGACTACTTCTATGCTATGCACCTTAATACATGGTGCATCCACCGTGGAGCATGGCTAGAATTTTAACGCCTTCATTTTGTCATTTGACAGAAATAAATAGAGGGGGTGTAACATCTCAAATTTTAGTCCTTGAATTACTAAGAAATTAATCAAGTTTAATTATAGTAATTGAGCGATTTCATGTGGCGTGTGGTCAGAGAGGTCTATTAAATATATTTGTCTGTGTTTTCAACCTTAATTATGGGTCTGAAGTGAAATCAAGCCACCTAAGCATTGGAAGGACAAGAAAAAGTAAAGGAAGTGTCTTTGTGCCATATGCCTCAGTGTGCAGCACATCCGTCGCCATGCACAAATGACTACTGAAGCTAGAGGGCCTCTTTGTACCATGTATCGCAACGCGTGTTGCGTATGCCACGGTGCATGGCCAAGATTTTGGATAAATTGATCACGAACTAAGACAAAAAACATAAGAGAAAGAAGAGGGAAATGGAAGAGCTCGTCTTTTCACTACTAGGGTTTGCCACATTGGTGGTTTAGGAGTACTTTAGTGCTAGAAAACACCTAAGGTAAGTATATTACACCCTAATTTCCATTCTCCTCTACTTTCTTAAAGTTTTCAAGCTAGGATTTAGTAATGAGAAATGATTTTTGGTCCAAATAGGTTATGAGTCTAAACTTGTTGACTCAAAATAAGAGTTGTTTAGAGTATTTAAACTTAGAGATCATGGGACACTTTTAGTTGGTGAATGTTATTAATGTTTGAAAATGGACATTTAATTCAAAATTATGGAAGCGGTTGAGGCATTAATGACAATGTGAGTACTTAATGAAGTTGAATAATGCTAATAAGAGTTATTAAACCTAATGGGTAAGTTCAAAAGTAAGAAATAAAGGTGTTGGGTGTTGAAGAAGTGAAAGTGTGAGTTGAAATTATGCTCTTGACAATGTTGATGAGTTTAAAATTGATAAATTATAGATTGAGCATTTGGGCACCACTTTGGCTTAGGAAATCAAGTTTAAAAGCTAATTATTGAGGGATAAATCTTTGACTTTTCAAAGGTTTGAGGGAACCGAAAAAACCCTACTTTAAATAGTTGTTTATTAATTATATGATAATGTAAAAATGGATTTGTGTATATGAATGATTGATTTTTTGTTGGAGTGATAACATATTATGCATCATGTGTTGGTGCATTCGCTTTGATATTGAACTAAAATGAAAATATGAATTTAAAATATATTTCAAACTACAATTTGCTTGGAAATGTGGAATTAATGGTTGGCATGAAAATTTTGAATGATGATTAAGCATAATGGAATGTAGATGATTCTCTTGAGTTTGAAAGTAGTGAATATCTATGATATATGAGAAAATGAGACTTGATATTCACTTAGGTAGTGCATGGTCGTGAGCCTAATGAGTTGATTTTGAAAATGATATTGTGTAAAAAATGAGTAGGCATCGTACATGGCATGATCAGTTAGCAGGAGTTCGCCTAGGGAAAGTAATAGTTAAAATTTATATGGTATTTTCAGCTACCTTCCACTATATGAGGATATAGCTTTATCCTATAGTTTGTCGAGGAACTAAAACTTAGCTATCTCCACTAGTTTATTGATGAGGTGAGCTTAAGGCATATAACACTTTAGTGATTTGAAAGTAGGGAAAGCCATGGTCTGAGAGTAAGTCTTGTGATCTTTGGTTAGGTTACACCTCATAATTAGTGAACTTGAAGAGTCCAATCACATGGACGAAGCTCTATTTGATGTTATATGTAACATCCTAAGTTTTTAACTTAGAACTTCAGGTGTTTAAGAAGGATAATTTAGTTAAAATATGTGATTTTTAAACTCATGGTGTTTTTGGGACACTAATAAAGTTATTTGACTTTTGAACAGCTTTGGAAATGAGCTAAGATGGTGCACGGGTCAATCAAGTTCAGGAAAGTGGCCAAAAAGGCATGTGGTAGTTTTTGTGCTGTGTGCCAAGGTGTACACACAACGCACTGTGGTGCATGGCCAAATTTTGGCATAAACCAGACGTGAAATGCATTTGATTTTTGAGAAGTGAAAGAAAGAAAATGAGAGGAGTGACAGAGGAAGAGCTTGTGGCTGCTAGGGCTTGATTTTGTGAGTGATTTGAAGTCATGTTGAGCTTGCTACACTGTGGATAAGCTTCCTTCACATCTCTCTCTTCCTTATTATGCGAAATTTATGAGTTTGGAGCAAAATAGGATAGATTTTGTGCTCTTCTTAGGTTTAGACTAAACCTGTTGTCTTAGTTAAGCTTTTAGGGAGTTAAATCAAGTTTATAAACATAAGTTTATAAGTTTTGTAGTGATTTGAAAATTTTGGTTAGGGTTTGAATGAACCCTATGTGAAAATTTAGAGTTTTAGGGCAATGTGGGTAAATGGTTAATAATATTAGTGTGTTTAAATGCTAAATGAGAT